GGGTTCCACCAGAACCGCATTGTCACACCTTGGCTACTGATTTTGGCTCCTGCAACTACCCAGATTCCTGCTCGCCAACCACTGCCTAGGGGCTGCCCCTTATCTCCACGACACCAGCCCAGCAGTAACCACACTGTCTTGATTAAACCTTCTTTTATTATAAGTGCTCACAAGTTCACTGTGGCTTTCAGGAGCGGTGGTTTAAGATAAAACTGGGGTACACTGCACTTCTGGGGCACAAAGGATGGGGAATTAGCCCAACTCAGAGGCTGGCTATCACAGGGGAATGATTCAAAAGGACTCAGGGATTGGGGTGCATTGTTAACCTACAAAGCAACATAAGGGTTGGTATGTCCCAGAGGAGAGTGCTTATGTGGTTGAAAGGCTGGTGGTGTTAGAGAGCAGACACCCAACCAGGCCCAGGCAAGACTCCCTAACCTTGGAGACAAGAGGCAACTCACAGTCCTAGGAGTGGAAGTCAGACAATCAAATCCCATAATGGGGGAGGGGGGTTGCAAGAGCTGGCAACATCAACTGTTTTTTCAGGCTGTATCTATCATTTGGGTGCATACCAGAGCCCCATGGAACCTCTTGGCAACAGCGGAGTGAGAACACAGTTGATTTGTTTTGTCTTCACCTGGGACCGCATAACAGCAGCTTACCTGGTCTGCCATGAGGACAGATAGTCTGCCTCAGTTTCCCAATGGGACAGTTGATGATTTGATGTTTGGGTCTTTCACAACACAGACCTTTCCTTTTGGGGTAAAGAAAGTACAAAATACCCTGATCACTCCTTCATCAGCCCTCTCCAGACTCAACAGCCCTTTTTGCCCTGGTGCCAGGGTTTCCTCACCACCTCTCTAGCTGTTACTACCCCAAAGTCTGGACCCTCCTCTTACTATGGAGCTCTGCCCTCAAGTTGCGGCCACATACTTCCCTCAACCCAAGGCTGCCCTTCTCAATGGTTTCCCAAAGCCATGTCTGTGGTGGCTGTTGCTATTAGGGGTTTCTTCTCTGGCTCCCCAGAGTACTTCTCTAGCCTAGCTCCAGGCCTCCTCTGGTCCTTTCCTAGCTTCTTCCATCCAAGGTTCTTCACTGGCTCTCTGGCAGAAGGGAAGCACAGCCAAACTTTCATCTTATTCTGTTCCTACCAGCTCTTCCTCCTACAGAGGACAGGTTACTTCATATCTCCCCCAGAAGACCTGGGTCTCGGCCTGGGACCAAGCACAGCTGAGAGCTGAAATCTGGACCCTCTAAAGGGCGTAGCTCAACCTGTGACAGACTGCAGCTAGTTGGCCTACAATGCTGTATGACTTCCTTTTTGAAAAGTCCCTATTACACTTGTCCACTGCAGGTTATTAGGGACATTTCCCTGTTCACCTGGAGCACTTGAATGTGATACATAAATGTGGTGAGTTCATTATCTAATAAGCTCTTTTGGGGCAGGCACTATAATTTTGTGCATTATACAATGGCAGGATCACTGTCTGAAGTGACCATAAAATTGCAAGAATTCCTTTAATTCCTAGCTCTCACATGGGATTATATTAGTCTGTAGACGTAAGTACACATGTTCCTCTTTCAACAGATTTCATTTGCCCATGATTTTGCAATTTTTCTAGCACAGCTGTTCAACTCATTTTCTTGGTCACCCTCTAATAAAAACCCAAGCTGAAAAGTAGGTGGTTACTACGGCATTTATTTTTCCATGAAATTTGTTCTTCTTTATCCAAGAGTGGCCCTAACTGCTTCTGTACTCTCTTAAATAAAGACTGTTCAGCACTTCTACGGCGCTTCCTGTCCTCACAGCTCTGCATGTTCCCTAGTCACAGCACATCTGTGAGGGGGGGAATTAATTGTTTGGGGGAAACTGAGGCACAGAATATTGACTTGCTCAGACCACGGATCTGGATTAGAAATCTGGAGTTCCTGGTGTACAGTCCTCTGCTTGGAGCAGGTCTTTCAAACTTTGTTTCTCTAAGAAACGTAAGGGTTTTTTTTTATTATTATTATTTTTAAAACACATCTATAATTTTTTCACAAATGTAAAGTTTTTTCCTTGCTGAGCCTCTCCCCTGAACTCCCTCTGTATACATGCCTCGAAAGACATTTCTCCTTTTATTTTCACTTCTTCTGTGCTCTCCTCTTATTGGTTAAGAGCCCCTGCTGTCACCACACCAATCTTCTTAAAACTATAAAACTTCAGGAAATGAGAAGTGTGTGTTAAAATGGAAAGATTAGATTTTAAGTGATTCCAGCCATCCTACTGCCCTTGGCTATCACTCTGCATCATTAAGTTCATTCAAAATTTACTTGCCTTTATTGCTCCATTTAAAAAAAAATGGAGAACATGGTTGTACGGCAACCACTAGTACTTGATTTTCAACCAAGGCACCTCTGGGACCCTCACTGTGGCTTACTATTCCACTGGCACATCCTTTACATTTCCAGGGAGATTGGATGCACTTGAGGCATTGTATCCTTGCACTTCAAAAACAACAATTACTTCGGAGTAGCTGTGTGTATTTACTTTGAAATGGTGTGCATGTGTGGATCCCTCCATCATGTGCAAGATTTCATTGTCTTTGTACAATGATGTGCACAAACTGGTCTCTCTTGTATACATTATACCTTTCTAAACCTGTATTTGTTTTATTTTTTTTTTACACTGCCACATTTGCTAAAGCAGCAAGGTTGTCATTTGGCATACATTGTGTATATGAAGTGACTTTCACTTCTTGATTACCCATGCTTCTTTCATTTTGTATAGACACCCTAGACATCTCCGTGGGTTAGCTATTTGGAACCCAATCCTGTGAAGTGCTGTGGCACTCAATGACACAGGATTAGGCTCTGTGTCAATGTTCTTTCCCCCACCACATTCACTGATGTACTCATTTCCCCCTATACCACTAAGGCAGCTTAAAATGAGCTCTAGCAGAGGGGACTGAAATCTCCATCGCAATGCACTGGCACTCCTGCAGAAGCTGCAGTGGATTCAGCTTTATTTAACCAGTCTTACACAATCCACTACCTGAACGATTCCACAATTAAATTAGATGGAGTTGGGGAAGGTAGAAATTAAGTGTCCCCAAACTAATCCTCCTTATTTGAGGAAAATTCCTTCACTTTAACCACATTAATAATGGTGTGTTGTAATGGTCAGCAACAATACAGTATTACATTTTAAAGAGTGGTGAATATACACTTAATTACCCTGTGAAACCCGCAAAAATATTCTCGATAATCTAAAACTACGACCCCTGTGTTAAAGAGAGATGCCACGCTACAGTATCTGCCAAAGACTTCATAGATCACTCAATAAAATTCATAAACACATGCAAATGCAAAGCAAAATGTCATTTTATTTAATTCAAGGACTAGTTTCCTTCTAGTATTGCTGAAGGGATCACCTCCTGGGGAATTGATCATTACAAAGTCCCTGTTTAAAAGTTCAAGTGCTCTTGTACATTCTTTTGAACCACAGAAAACATAATAATGACCAAGAAGGTGGGCAGCTACTTGCAGTTTCATCCCACCTAAATTAGCATTGCTTCTGGCTGGAAAACAATTCAAGTAGTAAAATCATGGAAAGTGTTAACCTTTAAGGTCACTACTATATTTTGCTCAAAAAGTCTTGAATGTATGAAAAACCATTTGTACATGTTATGAAGTTTTATAACCACTCACTGTATAAGGAGACAGTTAAGTATTTTGGACCAGTTGTCAACCAGATACTTAAGCGTTCAGATCTCCAGATATCCAATGGTTTATTACCAATTTAATTATGCAACTCACTTTTCACATTAAGCTCTTTAACAAATGGAACATATACCCGCACCAGAATCACTGTAGACAGATTTTGTTTTATAGAATGCCCTTCTGAAAATTCATTTCAAAATAGAGATCCTTTCTCCAGAACTGTAAAAGCCATAAAAATGCAAAATATCTGTTAGGAAATTTGTAATCAAAGTTACTTCTTAATGTTCAAAATAACATTTAACCTCCAGTTGTCTTTTGCTGTTGTTCATATACTGATCAATAGACTATAAACAGGTAACAATGGTTCTTTTTTCCCCCCACCTGAAACATTTCTTCTAACACAGGCCCAAGATAGGCAATACAGAGATTCAGGGACATGGATTATGCATTGCAAAGGTAATCCACTAATCATTTTAATTTAGAACAACTCTGATTCTAGTATACAACTTTGTGCCTCAGTTGTTTTCAATCTGCTCTAGATCCAAGTCCCCGCAGTCTAGCGGAAAGATGCCCTCTTCAGTGCTGTCACAATCACTTGTGTCCTCGTCACTTTCACACACTGCAGCTGCCTTCTTATAATCCCTTACATTGAAGCCAACTTGGCATGGCCCATGATGCCTTACTTCATCCAGTTGCTCTTTCACTGGACTGGAACCAGGGGTGGTGATGTTCATAAAGTCATGTGAATCACATGGGGATGACACAATTGTCTTCATTTGTGTGTCGTCGTCATCGTCGTCATCTTCTTCATAATCAAGGGAGCAAAGACTTTTCGAATTTTTTAAAGTCTGTAATTAAAAAAAAAAATATTAACCAAAAGCAATAGAAAAGACATTATACATCCTGTCCACCCACCCCTTCAAACATTTAGGGAAAGTGGTTAAGGAGAGAATTTACAGCAACTCTGCAAATGGGATCCATTTGGGAAATAAAGAAGTTATTTACTGTGCAATAACTGCAGTTTTCAACTGTTTTGTCCATGTCATCTCACTTACAAAGACTAGCTAGCAATTTCCAGCTTAATACGAGTCTGACGTCCTAGCTACAGCTAGCCAAATAAGGATTTCTGAACCACTGTTCCCAATTTGGTATCTGATCTAGTCACCAAATCCAGGACATGATGTTTGGTAAAGGTCTGAGCTGAGCTCCAAGTGGCTGCCCTGCAGAGGACCCATACAGAAATATTTCTTAGGCCTTGGCTACACTGGCAATTCACAGCGCTGCACTTGCTGCGCTCAGGGGTGTGAAAAAACACACACACACCCCGAGCGCAGCGAGTGCAGCGCTGTAAAGCACCAGTGTAATCAGCGTCTGCAGCGCTGCACACTCGCTCGCAGCGCTGCAAGCTATTCCCCTTGGAGAGGTGGAGTCCGCGGCAGCGCTGTGAATCCGCGAATGTAGCCAAGGCCTTAGACATGCTGAAGACATTGCCTGGTCTCTAGCTGGGTGGGCCCTGATGACTGAGGGAAGGCCATATCTACTAGTTGGTAGAAGACTAAACGTATTGAGTGATCCATTTGAATCTCCAGGAAGAGATGATCTGATCGTTTCCCTAATGTCCCAAACAGGGTTGATTTCCTGAATGGCTTTATTTTACCTAAATAATAAAGAAAGGCTCTGGAAATATCTAAACTAAGGAACTTGATTTATCCCAGGCTTAAGTGATGCTTGGGGGGAAAGAGAATAAGAGGTTAATTATTTGGTTTAAGTAAAAATCAGCAGCACACTGCTCCCCCCCAGAGAGTAGACACTGATTTCTCCCCCCCCCAGTTAAAAGAGTGAAAGGCCTGACTTGAACCTGGAGGGGTTTAGTCTGGCCTTTAGGTGGAAAGGCACCTCAGCACCAAGTGGAAGAAAGAATACATTTTAAAGAAGGAGCAGCAAATAAAGTTGTTAGTAAGCAAAGCAAAGTAACTGAATGATTCTAAATTGACTCTGAAGGGTACTTTGGGGGATAGCACACAGCCCCATATGCCCTCATATAGGGGGAGGGAGGCAGAACAGGGGAGGGGGGAATGCACACTGAGATATGCAGGGCACAGGCATGGCCCCAAAGGACACTGGTGTCAAAAGGTTCTGCTCTCCCATGCATGAGGTGCTCACACACCGTAAATTGGATCCACATGCACAAAAAGACTAAGGACTCCTCTAATTTTCTGTGTTTTTACAGTTGAGCTTTCATTCTTCATTAAAAACCTGATTTTTAAAACACATCAATCATCAATATCATACAGTATATGCTAATTCCTCATTGAGAATTTTATACAATTTCCTTTCTCACTGTACACACAGTCATTATGTTACCAGTGTCTGGCACAGGAGGCCTTTTAGAAAGAACTGTACATATTTAAAGAGCTTTGCAGACATTTACTAACCAGCCCTCGCAACGCCACTGAGGAAGGAAGGTCAATATTCTTTCCCCTTTTTACAAGTAGGGAAAGAGGCACAGAGGTGAAGTGACTTCCCCAAGACCATATAAATCACTGAACTTGGGTGCTCCTCTCACATTCAACCCCCTGCTCACTACTACAAATCCGGTCACTTCCTAGGTGTGCATAACTTGAATCCAGCACATTCAGGGATTAAAGTATTCTATTTGCAGGGGGGGGGGGGGGAGAGGGGGGAAGAGAAGAGAGAGGGGGGAAATCATATAATGTGTGAGATGTTAGAATGATTTTACAGAGCAACTTGGATGAAAGTTAGCAGATTATAGTACTACTAAGATGAACATGCTTCACTGACTTTGTACTCTTAGAAAGGACTTCAATGAGATTTTGCTGCACAGTAGAGACCACTGAACTTCTATTGCTGTATCTCACGGCAACCTGCACCAAATCATATTGCTACAGTGGAACAATACTTCAAGAGTAGGCTTCTGATTGCTACCATTATTTGTACAGTGGGCTTGAGTCATTTTTCTCTGGCAGTAGTAAGTCTGCAGCAGTCAACAGTATTACACGGATTCTCTCTCCACATTGTTATATAGACTCACAGGTTTTAAAGCCAGAAGGGACCATTGTGATCTTTTAGTCTGACCTCTTCCATAACACAGCTAATAGGAATTCCATTAATTAATTCCTGCTTCAAGTCCAATAGCTGTGGCCGAACGAGAGCATCTCTCGGAAAAACATCCAATTTTTATTTGAAGATTTCCAGTGATGACGACGACGACGACGACAACAACTAGGCTCTTATTTAGCGCTTTTCATTGGTAGATTGAGAATCCATCATAACTGTTGGTAAATTGCTCCAGAGGTTAATTATCATCACTGTTGCAAAGTTCTGCGTCTTATTTCTAGTATGAATTGGTCTAGCTTCAACTTCCAGCCCTCAGATCTTATCTTTGTCTGCGAGGCTGAAGAGTTCTCATCAAATTTCTGTTCCCTATGTTGATACTTATAGGCAGATCATGTGTATTTTTACATATCTGTATGAAATGTCCATGAGCCACCCTCAGGTCTTTAATGGATCCATAGCAATCTGTATACAGAGTTACTGAAAACAAACATTTTTCTATCCTGTATTCGAAGAGGGACTATGGGGTTCATTCCTATTTACACCGGATTTTAAAACAGTGAATTTCAATAATGCAATACAGCAGGGGCTCTCAACCTCTTTCTTTCTGAGGCTCCCAACAGGCTATAAAAACTCAATGGCCCACCTGTGCCACAATAACTGGTTTTCTGCCTATACAAGCCAGGGCCGGCGTTAGCGGGTAGCAAGCCGGGCAACTGCCTGAGGCCCCAGGTCACAGGGGCCCTGCGAAGCTACATTGCTTAGGCTTCAGCCCCAGGTGGCAGGACTCAGGGCCCTGGGTTCAGCTTTCTACCACGGGCGCCAGCAAATCTGATGCTGGCCCTGCTTGGCGGCCCTCCTGAAACCTGCTCACAGCCCCCACAGGGGGCCCTGGGCTGAGAACTGCTGCAATACAGCAAGGAAATGGTGTTAAGGACACTTGAATCCTAGTTGTAGCCTACTGCTTTGAAATGGTGAAAACATTTCCTGCTATCTGTCTCCAGACAGAGAAAAAAAGTATTTTCTAGGTAGCCCTTTAAGTCTTATGGTAGATACTGGTTACTGCTCCTGTTCAAACAAGGAAACAAACTTATTTATGCTTTTGGAAAGGGATTCTTGAACCCCCGAATTGTCCTCCAGTCAGCTTTATTCAAGATACTACTGCAGAGTAATCAAAACTAAGCACAGCTGTCTTTTTAGGGTTGTGTACATAAAACAGAAAATTGCCAGTTAGCTATACTGCACTGAAACCACTTGAATGGGAACTTTTGGCTGGTTTCAAAACAACAGCAAGTGCATTCAGCTAGTTCTTTGTTCACCCACTTGTCACAACCACACCAAACTAAAAATAGGTGGATTTATTATCTCAAGCACAATCCCACTACTTTTCACAAAGCAAAAAAGGTAGACACTGAAATGCATTCAAAACCCGCTAACTAAAGCTTTACATGTTACACCAGTACAGTACCACACCTTTCAAGCACAATCATGCTCAGTGGGGAGTCAGTGAGTACTTGCTCAATGGTTCTCATTTTATAAAGGATGCTGGACTAACAAAACAAAAGAACCCACAGTTGGCAATGTATGGAACTCAATCAGCCAAAAGTATTCTTTTGTGTAAAGAAAGAAAGAAAAGAAGCTCAAAGGAGTTTTAGAAGGAATAGGGTTATAAAATGTTTGAATATTAAAACTCTGTGTAGGAAACAATGTTGGGGGAAGGAAATAAAAGAAAATATCCCTAGACCCTTGCTTTCAAATCAAATAAGCAAGCGAGGCCCACAGGAATTTGAAAACAAGCTGATGTGTGTGCGCTCTTCTGAATCTCTGGTTCAGAAATTTCACAGTAAATCACTATACACTTCTGAAGTTTTTTGTTTTAATAAAAGTGATTCCACTGGCGCGTGTTGCTACATGAATTTACACAACACATTCAATTTAGCCATGTCCTTAGCGGTGTTTAAAACCCCCAGAGTGTGTATTAGAAATGTGTTTGTTACAGTCAATTCTCTCTGAAAGGCTAAATATAGTTTTTTCACAAATCCCACATGTGTACTTAGTGTCGCCAGTTCTCACCACTATTCTGCAGGTTTTGCAAGATGTGGTGCTTTTCTTAAGCCTCCTGCTCCTGGAGCACAGCACATATACTAAAATTGGAACGATACAGAGAAAATTGCGCAGGGGCCATGCTAAAGATGACATGCAAATTCGTGATTACATGAGAATCTCAAACTTTCATTTTGAAAAAAAAAAGGTAGCTGGTTTCTAGTTCTCATTGATATGGATAAAAACTTGAAAACAAACTCTAAAGGCTCAAAAACTAAGACGCCCCCTCACTCTTCCCAAATTATTTTTTAATCTCATGGTATTTTGTGGCCTGATTTGATTTTTGAATGCTTGGGATTGGCAATGCTGCTTTTTCCAAGCTATCCTCTCCTCTCTATGAAAGGCACCATTTTAACAAAATATTCTAGAAATTACTTATACAGCACTTAGACAATATCATCGTGGCCCCAGAAAGCTCACAATTTAAGTTTAGCCATAAAGTCTACACACCACCCACCAGGCTTGTTGTGCTCAACTGCACAGATCTCATCTTGCGAGGACTGTGGAAAAAGGTGTTCTTAAGGAAAGGTTGACAAATAAAGAACAAATGTCCACAGGGAAGCAAAGTGAGCCTGAATCCCACCACCATTACAGCGTACCTTTTAATAAATATTTCCACCGAGTCACCACAGAAGGAATCCAGCATCTCTTTAAAAAAAAAATCGAGCTTCAGTCGGGAAAGTGTTCCACTTTCATGAAGTAGTTTATGCCCCTAATTACAATTAGGGCAATTACTAATAAATGCACCTAAGATACCTATAAATTATTGTAAGCCATCTTTATCATACATTTCACATTACCACAAAACTTGTTCTTTAAAAAGTTTCCATTTAAAAATCGAGATCAGATATGCACAAGTATTACTAATTTATGTTGTGGTAGCACCCAGAGACCTCCATCATGTGGGGGCTCTGTACCAGTTTGTGTCTATTATGACAGACAAAACACAGTAGGTTGCAGTCTGTGCCCCAAAGTGTTTACAAAGATCTCTGAATTTTCCTAGGATTTCAGACATTTCAAGAAATATTTGATCCCATGTCATTCCATCACTGCAGTTCTACTTTATACACAGTAGCAGCAATTTTTGCTCACACCACATAAAAGCAAATATACTAATTTAACAGCTACGCCACATTGCACAGAATGATCATGCAAAAACCGTATGCACGCAGGTGGCCTGATTCTCCACTCTTACACCTGCATACTTATTGAAGCATATGAGGTTGCACTAGCATAACTGTGGAGAATAAGGCCTTTGATGTTTGACTCAAACGTAATGTCATAATCATCAGTGATGCACTCACAAAATGCTTGGCTCTGTGCAAAACAAATACAAGAGGCATTCTTGACCCTACAATCCGGCAGAAAGGTGGAACCATCCACATAAAGTGCAGAAAACAAGAAGAGGAAAAAATACAAACAAAACAATATTATCCATTGCAGTGTTGAATGTTTGGACCCTACTAACATTTGTTACAGATGCTCCCCGACTTACACCTTGCGTAACTCGAATTTTAAGTAAGTCGGAAATGTATTTCCAACCATTATGCAAAAAAAACCCCAAACCCCTCCTATTTTTAGCTTACGGAACTTTTTCCCATAAGCTCTGGATTTGTCTATGTTGGGTTTACGTAACTCAGGGAGCATCTGTAATTTAAAATTCCAAGAAAGTGATTTATAGCATCTGAAGATTTACTCCAGGCTCAAAAGTTAAAAACGTAGATGGAAATGCATTTTCTCAAGTTTAAAACTTATAAGACTGTTTTGGGCATAAAACTGCCACTTTGATTTGTAAGGCAAAGTTAGTTACTTATTAGTAACTTGAGATTCTTCAAGATGCGTGGTCCCTATCTGTATTCCACTGCGGTCAGGCATGCACTCCATGAGGAGATAGAAGGCGGGGTAGATCGACCGCCTTTCCAGTTCCTTCATCACAAGTCAGAGAAGATCTGAAGCAGACGAGAAGTAGGGCAGGTAGTGGAATTCAGATCGGGACCACACATCTCAAATAACCTCCAGTTATTACCAGGTAAGTAACTTTCTCTTTTGCTTCAAGTGCTGGTCCCTATCTGCATTCCACTGTGGATGACTGGACAAGTAGTACTCCTCAAGTAGGAGGAGGGTGCAAGGTCATAGATGGCAGAGCCAAAGGACTGCTGTTCCAAAAGATGCACTGGCAGGGGAGTACGGCACCATGGCATAGTGTCTAGCAAATGTGTGGATTGAACGCCACATAGCTGCCTTACAAATATCAATTAGAGGCACCTTTTGAAGCAATCCATATAGATGTTGCTTGTGCTCTTGTGGAAAGAGCTCTTATCCAATGAATATGGGAAGGTTAGACAGCTGATAGCAGAGCAAAACAGAGCCAGAGATGCATTTCGAGATTATTTGAGAGGATATAGGCTGACCTCTGACCCTTTCCATTATGGCAACAAATAGTCTAGGGGATTTCCTGATTGTTTTTGTTCTCTGTAGGTAAAAGGCTAAAGGGTCACCAAACATTGAGAGAATGGAGCCTTTTTTTCTGAGCAGGTGTGAGGTTTTAGGAAGAACACAGGTAAGTGAATAGACTGGTTCAGGTAAAAAAATCAGACGACTTTGGGGGTGAATTTAGGGTGTCAATGTACCATAAGCATAAAAAGTTTTGTAATATAGTGTAAGGAGGATCTGCCATCAACACTTCAAGCTCACCAACCCTGCTGGCTGAGATGATGGCTATCAGGAACGCGACCTTCTTAGATAGGAGAAACATGGTGCAAGAAGCTAAATGTTCAAAAGGATGCTTAGTATGGAGAGAACAAAGTTCGAGTCCCACTGAGGAGCAGGTTTTTTTTTTTAATTTTTATTATAAATAAATGGAAAGTTTCTGATTAGGCCTTTCCTGAATCTGTTAGTCAAAAGATGTATGAAGATCAAGAAGCCCTGGGAAGGTGGGTGGTATGTACTGATGGTCAGTTCCTTACCGGTCCACTTGGCAATAGAGAAATCTGCTGTCTTCAAGTCCAGAATGAGAGGAATATATCTGTGGCTTCAGGAGAAATCCATCTGATGTGCCCACACTGAGAAACTCCTCCACTTGGCTAGGTAACATTTCCTAGTGGAATCCTTCCTACTATTAGAAAGGATGTTCTGTACAGCTTCAGAACACGACTGCTTTAAGGACAATGCCAATCCAAAAACCAGGCTCTGAGATGAAGCAGCTATGGGTTGGGATGCCTGATGATCTTGCCATTCCCCTGAGTCAGGCGATTTGGAAACGTAGGAATAATGATCAGTGCCCAAAATGACATGTGAAGGAGGTTCAAGAACCAAAACTATCTGGGGCAGTGAGAATGACTCATGCCCTGTCCTGAGGAATCTTATGCAAAACTAGAGGCAGGAGTGGTAGTGGAGGGAAGGCATAGATCAGAGGATCTGACCATGGAAGGAGTAGAGCGATGACCTGTGAGTGGTGACCCCGGGCTCCTCTGGAACAGAATATGTTACACTTTGTTTGAGACGTGAACAGGTGCCTGGTTGGGGTCCCCTATAGAGCGAAAATATTGTTTACCACAGAGTCAAAGCTCCCACTCACAATCAACTGCAAAGCACCTGATGAGGCAGTCTGCTAGCACATTCTGCTTTTCTGGGAGGTAGACAGCTGCCAGCGTAATCTGGTTGCCAATGCACCAGTTCTACAGATTGATCTTTCTGCACACTGGGGGACAGATCTCGCTCCTCTCTGTTTGTTGATGTGGAAAACAGTCATGATGGTGTCTCACAGTGGTTTGAGCATTGGCCTGCTAAACCCAGGGTTGTGAGTTCAATCCTTGAGGGGGCCACTTAGGGACCTGGGGCAAAATCAGTACTTGGTCCTGCTAGTGAAGGCAGGGGGCTGGAGTCGATGTCCTTTCAAGGTCCCTTCCAGTTCTAGGAGATAGGTATATCTCCATTCATTTTACTTTACTTAGGGTCTAGTGACCTTGAATGAAAGGGAGAAAGGTTTCACAAGCCCTTCGAACTGCTTGTAGTTCTAGAACATTGATGTGCAACCTGTACTCTCAAGATGTCCAGGTGCCTTATGCTGTATGGTTGTCCGGGTGAGCTCCAAAACACAACAGGCATGCATTAATGATTGTTCTTTCTGGTGCGGAGGCGATGAAGGGAATGCTGATGCAAGCCTGATAGGGATTTTTCCATCATGACAGGGATATGGCACTACTTTGGTGGGAACACTCACTATGGTTCTCGTGGATTGCTGGTTTGGCAAGTACACAGTTTGAAGCTACAATCATAGGCAATGAAGGTGGAGTCTTGCAAAAGGCGTGACATAAATGCATGAGGACATATGGCCTAGGAAAGAAAAAGGTTTTGAAAGGCTTTCTGGGGTTGGTTATGATCTAGTCTAGGGTAACGTTCATAGCCTGAAACCTGACTCTTGGCAGGTAAGCCCTTGCCATGAAAGGTATTGCTGGACATTTGCAGCTCCAGTAGTGCTTGGGGGGCCAAACAGAAAAAGGATTAATAGACTCTGGATGTTCTTACAGTCTCGTCCGTGAGACTCTACTGGATCTGGAAGAGTTGCAAGATGACCCAATGCACGTGTCCCCACTCATACCTACCCTATGGCCTGGGTGCATTTGAATATAGGGAACCAGGCTAGAACTCTTCGAATTGGAGTAATCCCCAACTTGCCATGGGAAATAATCTAAAGACTATTTAGACTATTTAGAGTCCAGTCCCCATGCGGGCAGGGGACTGGACTCGATGACCTCTCGAGGTCCCTTCCAGTCCTATAATCTATGAATCTATGACTGAGAACACTTCTCCTTGCTACTATTACGTCACCCGGAGAACCCGGGTACTGTTCCAGTCTGATTGTCTGACATCTTTCCAATTGCCATATGGGACCTTTGTGATGGCCGACTGCAACCCAAGACGACTTGGAAACAGGAACAAGCAGCCAGGAAGGCCTGGCAACGAGCAGCCTTAGCAGCTGGCAAGCTGGATAGCTGGCAGCTCAACAGAACCACCTTGGGACAACACTTCTTGACACTGAATCAATGGTACCACCAGCTAGGACCTTTGATTTGGTTCAGGAAAATCACCATTAGAGAGGCACACAATTGGCATGTGGTGATT